TTTTCAGTATATATCCAGGACTACAACTGCACCATTAGAGAGGAATTCTTGTTCTCATATTTAAGAAGCATCCAAGTACCTGTGCATGATGCTGTTCCAATACCCATGTCCACTGACTATGATTACATCAACAGACAGAAAATATCTTCAAGAAAAGTCAACATACCTTCACGATCAACATCATCAAAAGGGTAGAGATGGATGGAAAGTTCCTTTAAATCATGCAAGCTATATAATAAGCATTTCTTCCACATCCAACAAGTGTGTCTACTCACTCCTCTCCTAGTCAACAGAGTGCTGGAAGTCTTTCCACAGCTATAAGGAAATAAAACACACAAAAGTAAAAGGAGTTAAAGTATCTGTTTACAGATTATATGATTCTGCACCTCAGAGACCCTAAAGAGTCCACCTGAAACTCTTAGAGCTGAAAAACACTTTCAACAATGTGTCAGGGGATAGGCGATTAACATACAGCAATCAGTAGCCTTTCTGTACACCAATACAAGCATATGGAAAAAGAAATTAAATAATCAATCCTATTCACGAGAGCTACAAAGAAATATACAAATGAACTCTACACTGAAAACATTAAGACACCCAGGAAAGAAATTAAAGAATACACCAAACGATGAGATCTTCCACACTCAAAGACTGGAAGAATTAATCTTGTGAAACTGGCCATCCTAAGAAAACCAATCTACAGATTCGATGCAATCCCAATGAAAATACCAGTGCATTCTTCATAATACACAAAAAGCATCTTAAAAATTAATTTCAAAGAAGGAAAAAAAAAAAACCCAAAGCAAATCTGCACAAAAACAATATGGTAGGAGTTAGTAGAATGCCTGAATTTAAGTTGTGTACTTCAGACCTCAGTAATGTCGGTAGGCAGAGGCCAGCGGATCTCTGTGAGTTCAAGGCCGGCCTGGTCTACATAGTGAGTTCCAGGACAGGTGGGGCTACGGGGAGACCCTTTCTCAAAAAAGGTAGGAGTCAGCAGAATGCCTAAGTTGTGTACTTCGGACCTCAGTAATAAAAACGGGATACTTCTGGCACAAAACGAGATCCACAGACGGACGGAACAGAATAAAGGACCTAGATACACTTTCAAATACAGACACCTCACTCTGCCAGCGATGCCAGAAACTTACAAAGGTCAGAGGAAAAGCACCTTTAACACCCGTAGCTGGGAAACCACGTCCGCAAGGAGTGAATCTCGTCCCCAACGGCTCAGCAGTTCCCGGAGCTCTGCGTGCTCGGGGCCCTCCCCGCGCAGCCTCTTCCCAACAGCTGGAAAGACGCAGGAAGGGCCGAGACCACTGCCGGGGGCTGCCGGGCGGGACCGGACAGGACAGGACCGGACCGGACCGGCCAGGAAGGCGGCACCGACCTGTCCCCTCAGCTCCAGCAGCAGCACCTGGGCAGAGCCCCGTCAGCATCCCCTCCCCCTCACTCACCTGCTCCGCCGGGGCCACGCGGGCCGGGATATGGCGGCCGAGGAGGAAGCGCAGCACTGCCGGGAAAGGCGCGGACAGCACCCGGCGGGGGCGGCGCGTCTTTCCCAACTCTAGGAGCCACGGGGACCTGAGGGACAAGCTGAAGTGCAGCCTGCGCGGACGCCTGACAGGACCTGTGTCCAGTCCCCTCAGAAGGCGCCAAGTCACCCAGGGCCGGAAGTAGCACTGCCCAGGGGGCTGACAAACTAGTCCTTGCAGGAGGAGAGCAGCTCTGGCCCAGGAGAGGAGCCCTGTTCCTGGAGGGGCGGGACCCGCGTTGGTGGTCGCCTGGGTCCTGGCCCGTCACTGGTGAGATGGTGAGACCTATGGGACGGTGGGGCCTGACAGGATGGCGGCTGTGAAGTGACACCAGAGCCCTAGGGGACGGCGGGGCCTGGGGGTCGGTGAGGCTGCTGAGGCCCACGGGATGCCCAGGCCGCCCCCTGCCGGTACGCAGGCCACTGCAGGGCAGTGCTGCACAGGCTGCGTCGCCCTCTGCCGGTAGCACAGGGTTAAAGGTGGAGTCCTGGGGGCTGATGGGGCTGTGGAGCAGGGATGACGCAGCCGGATTGCTGAGGCCCAGGCCAGGGGGCGGGGACACGACGAGTCCTCCCTGTGGGATCTGAGGTTGGAGAGGGGGAGGAGCGCCACAGAATCCCTGAATTACCACACTAGGCTTCTGCTCTAACCTCATTCTTCCCTCACCACATCCAGGATGCGCTGACGCCAAACACCTACCAAGTGATGGCATCCAAGGATGACATAAGCCGCAGTTTGTCATCACCGGAGTTTAGTATCCTCTAGGGGAAACATGAGCAAATGGGGTAAGAACTAGGGTAGAAGGAAAAGAGCAAAGTGCCTGAGGGAACTGTAGGGAGGATAGCCTCACTCAGCCTGGGTGGAGGAGAGTTCAGGACTTGAACATGAAAGCCAATGAACTCACTTTAGGGCAGCTGAAGTAGCTTCACTGGGAGCTTGGTACCCTGCAAGAAGCCCTGACTTGGGTGTCAGCACCACAGAATCCGAGGGCCTGTAATCCAGCACCTGAAAGGCGGACATAAGGATCAGAGGTTCACAGTCATCCTCAGCTACATAGCAAGTTTCAGGATAGCCTGAGCCACATGAGACCTTCACACACATAAAAATCCTCAGGTTTAGTATGAGTACTGAAGGTGACTGGAGTGGACAGAAAAATAAGCCTCGGGTTGAAATGTGGGAAAAAACTGGAGTCCAGTCAAGGACAGATTTCAAGTTGCGATCAAGGAGCAGGAAAACAAATATCAATTAGCACACACTAAAATAGAAAAATGAAGGTACGCCAAGTGTGGTGACACTTGTCTTTGATCCCAGCACTCGGGAGGCAGGGGCAGTCAGATCGCTGTGAGTTCAAAGCCAGCCTGGTTTACATAGTTGTAGGCCATTTGGGACTACAGGGAAACACTGCCTCAAAAAGACCAAATTAAAAAATTAAAAAGAAAAATGAAAGTGTATTAGACAGGTTGGTGTAAAGATGGAGAGAAGGTGAGTTTGGGGTGCAATAGGAAAGAAAGACCAGTCTGAGTACAATTGAGTCTCACATGTGCCACCACATGACAGGGGTTCCAAGCCATAGCTCAGTCACTAAAAATAGATAGCTGGAGCACGTTGCCAGTAGAACTCCAATATTTCTTTAGAACAGTGTGATTGGATGCTACAAGATTATAAGGTTTGCAGGTGACAAAGACTGGGTAGGGAGTTTGTTAGAGGGAAGCTTAAACTTTTTAACTTTTATTTGTGTATGTGTGTCTGTGCAGAGTCCCACATGTGTGCAGGTAGAGCCTGTGGAGGCCAGAGGAGGGCCTCAGATCCCTTAGAGCTGGAGTTACAAGTGGTTGTGAGCCACACAATATGGATGTTGGGAACTGAACTCTGCAAGAGCTGTAGGTGCTTTTAACCAGTGACCCATTCATCCCTTCTAGATTGACCATGAAGTGGTGTGTTTTGTTCATTTTGTAACAAAATGTGTCCCAAACAGGGTGGGGGTGGGGAGAAAGAAAGAAAATGTGGGGCATTTTCTTCACCAGATAAATATAGGTAATGATTTTCTGATTAGAAATGCAGCAGAAAAGTGAATAGACCCAGAATCAGCAAATGGGACAGCAAAGGAAACTCATACAGTGATGAAGCAGCCCACAGAGTGGGAGAGAAACTTCAGCAGCAATGCTTTTCAGAGATCATTGATGAGAATATTCAAAGAATTCAGTCAACACCAGCAAGAAAACATGTAACTGTCTACAGATCTAAACAGGAGGTTCTCAAAAGAAGAAATAGAAATGTTGGGGTAACACTTTAGACACTGTTCTCGTCCTTACCTACAAGGAGAATGCAGATTAAAACTTTATGATTCCATCTCCCCCAATTCAGAATGGATGCCATCAAGAAAGAATACCAATAACATAAAATTCTGCTGTGAATGGGAGAAATAGGAACTATTTTTTACACTATATATTTATATAAAATTTGGGGGGATTTCATATACTACATTTAATCATATTTAGATCTCCCCTATCAGCACCCTCTCTATCGCCCTCCCACAGGATTTCATGCATTGTCTTACATATTAAAGCCCATCAAGTCAAGTTTGTGTACCAGCTGTCTCTTGGTATGAGTACATCCACTGGAGCGTGTTTAGCCTAACTTGCAACAATCCCTTTTTGCCTTAGAGAAGATCAACTCTTACTCACCTAGCCGGGATCAACTGCCGATAGTTCCTTAGCTAAAACTGAGGCCTCCTGTCCATTGAATGGGAAGTACTGTACACTGCTGGTGAAAGTATACAGTAATGCAACCACTTTTGAAATCACTCTGGAGGTTTCTATTTAAAAAAAAACAAAAACAAAAACAAATCAAACTATCATACTCGCCAGCTACAGCACTCCAAGCATATTCCAGAAGACTCTGCCCTCAACCAAATAGACACTTGAGCATCTATGTTCATTGCTACTCTGTTTGTAATAGCTAGGGAATGGAGTTAACCTAGATGTTCAACAACTGATGAATGAATAAAGAACCTGTGTTCCATACACACAATGAAATATTAATCAGCTTTAATAAGAGGTGAAATTATGAATGAAGCAGGAAATGGATGGGGTTGAAAAAATGTTGTTCCAAGTGAGTTAACCCAGGACCCAAAGCACAAATGTTTCATGTTTTCTCTCTTATGAGGATCCTACCTTAAAATCTTCAGTGTAGTGTGTCTAACATGGAGTACATGTGGAAGCCAGGAAACAGGGAGGGGGATACGTGGGAAGGAGTTAGCCTAAGGGAGGTCAGAATGTAGAACATATATAAAAAGGAAGTAAAGAGGAGAAATATTGTGGGTGGAAAGATATAAGGAGGGAGGCAGGTCACTGAGGAGATGAAGGTTTGGGGTGAGATAGGATTAACAAAATAAGGATGCCCACAGAAACCATTTGGAAAGTGAGAAATGCCCACCAGTGCAACAGTGCCTTGAGTGTTGGGGAGAATAATCACTAAAGAATCACTACATGGGATGTGGAATGCTGGTTTTGACGCTATCATGCATGAGATTATTTCACTGTATGTTTGCTGGTGTATATGACTGTGAGTCATTTATGTATCTTAATTTTGTGTCGAGTTACTTTGCTGAATGTGTTTGTCAGCTCTGGTAGTTTTCTGGGGAATTCTTTAAGGTCCTTTATATATAGAATCATCTATACATAGAGATACTGTGACTTCTTCCTTTTCAAGTGTATTTCGTTTCTCTTTTCCTGTTGTTGTAGCTAAAACTTCACTATTATATTGGACAGGAATGGAGAGAATGGACATCCTTGTCTCATTCCTGATGCTAGTGGAAATACTTTGAATTTTCTCTATTCCATGTTGTCTGTGGGCATGCTGTATGCTGCCCTAGTATGGTGAGGTATGTCACTTGCATCCTCAGGTTCTCCATTACTTTTCTCATGAATACTTTAACTCAAAGGCATTTTTCTATCTAATGTGATGATCATTTTGTTTTGAACTTGAGTCTGTCTCTGTGGTGGATTATATTTGCTGATTTATGTATAATGAAATATCCATTCATTTCTGGATTGAAGGAGACTTAATCATGGTGGGTAATTTTTTTAATGTGCACCTGCATTCTGTTTTCAAGTATTTTACTGAGAATAATTATGTCTATGTTCATCATCAAACCTGGCATCTAATTTTTTGTTGGTTTTTTTTTTTTTTTCAGATCTTTGCCTGGTTTTATCATCAAGATAATGTTATGGTAAAATCAGAAATCAACAGCCAAAGTCAGGTGAGGAGAGGGAGTTTAATAATTTCATGCTAGAGTACTGATCCACGGATCCTTTTGTAAGGGAGTCAGTAGCATCCTCCAATTTTGGGGGCTTTTATATTTATAAATGAGGAAATGCAAGCAAAAGGCAAAATAGCAAATAAGTAAAATGGTACATGGGATAATTAAACAAGGTATATATGGCAGCAAAGGTTACAGGTGAAAGCTTTGGAAAACAAAGACTTCCATCCTGGGCAACCACAGAGGGTGGGTGGTAGGGGACTCCTGCTCACCTCCCCCGTACCTATCTCTTGTCTCAGAGTTTTCCTGCTCCAAAGTTCTTAATTACCATCATATCACAAAAGATTTTAGCCTTAATAGTAATACTGGCTTCATAAAAATAATTTGGAAGTATTCCTTCCTTATCTGCCTTGTGGAATGATTTGATACATATTGGTATCAGTTCTTAGAATGTCTGGTAGAATTTTTTGCTGTATAC